GCCGGGCCGCCCGGGGGAAGGGGTGGGCGCCCCGCTCCCCGCCTCGCCTCGCCTCCCGCTGCCGACCGCCCCCGGTCAGGCGAGGCGACCCCTGCGCACGCCTCTTCTTGCTGGGGTGCCGAGTTGCGCGTCGCTGCTCCCGTCCCTGCGCCGCGCGGACGACGCGCAGCCTTTGTCCTGCGGGCTGGGCGCCCGACGGGGGCGGGGAGGAGGCCTGGGCGCGCGGCCGCCGTGTCCGTGCCGGTTCCGGCGGCGCCGGGGGACCGGGCAGGCGTCCCCAAGCGCCTTCGTAACCTTCGGTTACCTCGCGCGTGTGAGCATCTGGACCCTGAGAGTGGAGACAGATAATAGGCTTTAGCTTGCTGCCCGGACCATCACTGAGAACTCGGGAGTAGGAGTCATCAAGCAAGAGCAGTTACTGAAAGGAAAGCACTGCGGCTAGTGTCTTCCTAGCCAAAGCGAGCCTAACTTGGAAGACTCGGCTGTTTCCTAGATACAGGGAAACAGAGTCTTCTGCACTCTTCACAGAGACGTTTTGCTCAGGTCGATATTGAGTCATGGACGTGTGTTGGTGCTGAAATGAGGCCTAACTTAACGGATTTGGATAACTGCGAGACCTGCCCATAAATGTGGCCATCTCTGCTGCTTTAGCACAGTTATCGCAGCGGGAACACAGTTTTCTTACTTAGTGCGCAAGTGCTCGAGACACCAACTGCGCTTCCAAAAACTCAGGCTTCTTACTTAGGGAGCGTAGGTCTGTGATGGCTGTTGTCTCATTAAGCTCACTGTTTTAGAAACATGTTTGGGACTGGAAGAGTTGATAAGCTTATTTATTCCAAAGTCTGAAACATAAAGATGCTTATCCTCCTCCTTGCTAATGTAATCCGTCAGCTCTGTCGGTGCCACATATCAATACATTACCCATCTGAAAATCAGGGAAAAAGGCATTTCTCAGATAAGAATTGAATTTCAAGTCTATGTTTTTTTGTTATTCAGTGTTACACTATCGCTAGCTTTTTGTATTTTCCAGTTTCCTAGTTAAATATTGCCCAAAATATCAATACCCATGATCTGATTGAACACCTAGGTTTTTAATAACAGAGGCCTCAGTTCCAATTTTAGTTCCACCACTTGTGAGTTGTGTGATCTTGGGCGGAGTCACTTAATTTCTCTGAGTCTATTTTCCTCATCAGGAAAATGGAAATGATAATCCGGACCTCACGGAGTTATCGGCAGGATCAAGTGAAATAATGTAACTGCTGTACATACAGCCTGACATGTAGCACTCGATAAATGTTACTTGTTATTAAATATTAGTGTACAGAATCAAATAGCAAAAAATTGACCAATATTAATATATTTGATGACTCTGAAAAGAGGAACATGCAAACTTTTCATGAATTACTCAAAATGCCTAATTTTCTGAGGCCAAAAACCATGTTTTTCAAGGCTCAGTAAGAAAGTAATTATTTACCTAATCTCCTGTCCACTCTTTTCCTGTTGGGCCAAGGGTTAAAGGAGAATTGTCCTAATCATTGTCTTTATAGCCTAAATAGCATGGCCTAGTAAAAAGACTTAGACTTTGAAGTGAAGTGGACCTAGGAGCATTTAGCTTAGTAATGTTGCTGCCTTTTCCTCTAAACTAGTGATTGCTCAGTTGCTAAACTGAACGTGAGAGCAGCCTTACTCCTAAGATTATCTTTACAATTAAGCAAGATGGCAAGGCCAAAATCAGGACAGTAGTCTCAGAGAAGTCATGTATTTATAGTTGTCCAGCGCTTATTTAAAAAGGCTTATCAAACTGCCACTTCTAGAGTTGTAAGAGAATGATAGGGAGAATTGAATGTTGTAGCCAAATAACTATATATATTAGATATTTTGCTCAGAATCCCCTTTACTTTAAAAAATTACTTTACTCCAACTTTTGAGTGCTTCCTGTATGCCAAGCACTGTGTTGAGAACCGGGAATACAAATGAGATCAACCCTGCTCTTGCTTGCTTTGTATTTACAGTTTACTTCCTGGGGGAAACTGAAAAATAGCCTGTATCTGTAGCATGTTAAGTGCTGTGAGTATGTGTTTGGTGGGGGTCAGGGTGGGAGGAGAGCGGTGCACAGTGCTGTGGGAGCATGTTGGATGGCCCAGGAACCCAGGCTTGGAGGGCTATACAAGGCTTCTGGCAGGAAAGAGCTTCTAAGTTGAGTTCTGAAATAGTCAAGAAAAAACAGTTGGGAGAGTGTTGCAGTCAGAACACCAAGTACAAACCTTAAACCTTTCTTAGGGAAAGATCAGATTGACCTGAAGCGAGTATAAAATTAAGAAAGATTTTTAGTGATTGGGGGGAAAAAAGTACTAAGTCATACTCTTTATTTACATTGTGCTCTGTAGCAGAGCTGTGTAATCAAAGCAGTTTGATGCTGTTTTAAGTACAACTATCTTTTGGGTAATGGGTAAGAGCCAACTAGCAAGGCTTACTTTAAAACAGTATTGGAGGGCTGGCCCGGTGGCTTGGCGGTTGGGTGCGTGCGCTCCGCTGCTGGCGGCCCCGGTTGCGCGCACAGACGTGCCGCTTCTCCAGCCATGCTGGGGCCATGTCCCACTTGCAGCAGCTGGAAGGATGTGCAACTATGACATACAGCTATCTACTGGGGCTTTGGGGGGGGGGATTTAAAAAAAAAATACATTAAAACAGTATTGGAATTAAGGAACCATTTTCCTATTAACTTGATTCATTATTTTTGGAAAAATACTTTGCTTCAGAATGTGATATATATATATAAGATGATAGCATATGCTTTTTAAAAAATTATTTATTCTTTAAAGCAAATACTTTTAACATTAAATCCTCAATATTTTTTTCACATCTCTTGGACTTTGGTCAGTCTTTTCTTCCAGGAACCCTTGAATAGTTCGACCATGTCTTTGAAGAGAAGAAGCTCATAAAGCCAGGGGCTAACCTGTCCAATGAATGTCGAGCAGAGCTTGACTTTCCCCCAGTTGATGGCTTAGCTATGAGGTGACTCTTGAGTTCTGATCTTATAGTTTGCTTCTTTAAGTGATGGTAGCCAGTTTCTTCAAGGGCAGGCTTGAATTCGAGTAAAGTGGAATTTTAAGAACTTAAAGTTATAATTGTTCCAGGTCACTTTCATTCCTCTAAGATTCCACTTTATGACCAAGTTGCAGTGGAGCTCTTTAGGTCTACCTAAAGAGGCATGTTATTTTTTTTTAGGTTAATAACTTATGAGCAGTCCTTATGCTCCTTCCAAAACCTCATCACTCCAAGTCTGTCTTCAGAAGGACAGACTTCTTTCTGCAAGACAGACCAGTAATAGATAAGTATACATTTGAAGTGTGCTCCAAAAGGTCTTTTTTTTTTTTGTAATTTACACTAAGTGTTAGAGAGATAATCAGTCTCCAAAAGATGCACAAGGTGTTCACATCAAGCCGCCTTTGCCTAAATGAGACGACTGTTGAGAAGATGGGCCATCTTTTCATACGATCTGCTTTTCCTTGGGCAGTGTACTATTGAAAGGCAATGTCAGTAAGTCAAACACAAATGCTGGGAAAGTCTTGCCTTTTGACAGCATTGATATGAAAAGTGCTTTTTAAGAAGTGATGCCACTGCTTTTCTGAAATATTGGTCTTCTATTTTAGTGCGTAAATTCACAGACAAACATGAATGGATAACAACAGAAAATGGTATTGGAACAGTGGGAATCAGCAATTTTGCACAGGTATTGGATTGTCTTGAAATATTTAAAATAGTCTGCTCTCGCCTAAATTGGATTGTCTCGACCTGTTACAAATTGTTTATTCTGCCCCTTAGTATTTTGCGCCCTTTAAAGGCCCTTAGAAGAACATCAGTCAGAGGTAAAACATTAGTTAGGGCAGTATATAGTGTTATAAGAGATATTGAAGAGTAGAAAGTAAAAGTAGAAAGCATACCTTATTGAAGAAAGAAATATGTTTGTTTTATCTTGGGGCAGTTAAGGAAAGATGCAGCAGCAGCAGAGCAAGCAAAGAGGCTGGCGAGTTGCCAGTGTTTTGTGGATGCAGTGATATACATGTGGCCAGGGGAACATGAAGAAGAGGGAAAAGCTAGATTGGCACAGATGACACAAAAGGAAACCTTTTATTTAGCCTGTCTTTTTCTCGATTAATTCCCCTATTCCCACTGATCCCATATTGAGATATTGTGTAAAAGAAGTTGAGACGCCAAGTAGCAGCATGGGTCAGTCATTTTCAACTGGATCTGTGGGCAGTGGGGCAGGAGGGAGAGAGGGGATGTTAACTAATGGGAGTATATAATATTCTTCAGAAATGTTGAAGTCTCAGGTATTGAGAATCAATGACAACTGTATCCTCAGCGGCATATCTGTGTACCTGCTGAGGCCCAGGACAGGGTGCTTTGTGAAATACTGCATGAGTGTTGTCCTCACCTCCTGGAGTTATCTATGAGGGGAACTACCTACATGGAAAACGACATACAAAATGTTGCATGATGGATGACCTGCGTGCTACAAGGGGTTGTAACCTACTCAGCTGAAGCGCAGTGATCACTTCTTGGGGAGGTCTTCAGGGAGTACAAGGCTTTAGGACTGTGGTCTGCAGGGTCAGTGGGTAGGAGTTCAGCAAATGCCGGTAGCGGAAATGGCTTAAGTGAAACTGCAGAGGAGGAAGAGCACAGTGTGTGTGTTCTCAGAGGAGCTGGTAATCTTTGGGGGCACAGGGTTTGTGACGGGGATCACTGCTGCCTGTGGGAAATCCAGCTGGTGGCCCATTTTCTTGCAGGTCCTGAGCTAAGAATAGTTGCGTTTTTAAAGGGTTGTAAGAAAAACCAAAGAATGTGGCCCCTCGAGTGTAAAATACGTACCATCTGAATAACAGGGGATTTAGTGTTTGTGGCTTGTTCCTATCTAGTAGGAGGTTTAATTTGATTTCTTACAGGTTGGTTTGTTTGTCTTTTAGGAAGCTTTGGGGGATGTTGTTTACTGTAGTCTGCCTGAAGTTGGGACAAAATTGAACAAACAAGGTGAGTGTTTTTCTCATCTTGGTATGTCATGATTCGTGCCATGAATTTTCTTTACCGGATGTTCACCTTGAATAATAACTTGTTTGCACCCAGGATCAATTAGACAGCTTTTTACTCAAGTAATAGAAATCGCAAGTAAAAGTGGATTAAACTACAGGGGTTTATTATATCTCACACAAGCAGTCTGGAGATAGGTGGATATGGACTTGGCTTAGTGAAGGTCATCAAGGACACGACTTCTTTTGGTACTTTTTCTGCCTCAGTGTGTCAGATGTCACAAAATGGCAGCAAAATCTTCAAGCATCACATTCTCAAATGACAATATCCAAAAGTAGAAAGAGAAGGACAGGCTCTCTTCTTTGTCTCTTTATCAGGGAAGAACATCTCAACCAGAAATCCCTCAACACACACAGTTTTCTTATATCTCATTAGCTAGGTCTGGGTTGTATTGCCACCCCTAGCTGTAAGGGATGACAGTCATGAGAATAACAAGCGTTTTCCGACTTTATAATGGAAGGTAAGAAGTAGTAGGGGGACTGGCTCTTAGCACTCTCTGCCCGCTCCACACACACACTGATGCAGTGTAATATAGCTGAAGTCTATTAACTTGAAGAAGTAAAATCTGCTTTTCTTTGGAGGGACTAAAGAATATCAGGAAAGGACATGGGCTCTGGAGTCAGAACCTGGTTTTAAATCCTGGCCCTACAATGTAACAGCTGTGTGATTTGGGGAAATTACTTAATTTAGGTCTCATCTATAAGTTAGGATAATAATACCTACCTCATAGAGTTGTAAGGATTAAATGAAATTAGCATAATGTTCAGCATAAGATTCATGCTAGATAAATGTTAGCCAGTAGTACCACGTATATTATTCATGAGTTCCTTGACATATATAAGACTGCCCTACAGAATTAAAGTATGTATTTTCTAAATATCTTTGATAGTATTAGCCATGTCTTTTTCTGTTTAAACTTTCTCTATCATTTATCTTGTTTGAACTTTTTCCACTTCCTGGCTCTCGATATCCTGGCTGGCCATTATATTATATAGGTCATATTCCTCTTTTTGAAGGTCTTCCTAGAAACCTTTTCTGATGTCATAATAAGACCGCTGTTGGGATTGATAATCTTCACCTGTTTTTCTTTTTTCTGTACAACAGAGAACAGTTCCTGTTTTCTCTTCTCATGTTGTTTTATTTACTATGTACCCAACTCTGCTAGCCAGCCCTGGTGGTCTAGTGGTTCACATTTAGTGGCCCAGGTTCATTTCTGGACAGGGAAACACACCACCCATCTGTCATACGTAGCAGCTGTGTGTTGCTGTGATGCTGAAAGCTATGCCACCAGTATTTCAAATACTAGTAGGGTCACCAATGGTGGACAGATTTCAGTGGAGCTTCCAGGCTACACAGACTAGGAAGAAAGACCTAGCCACCCACTTCTGAAAAAATTGGCCATGAAAATCCTATGAATAGTAGCAGAGCATTGTCTGATATAGTGCTGGAAGATGAGAGGATGGGGCAAAATGGACTGGGCAGGGTTCCGCTCTACTGTACACAGTGTCATTAGGAGTCAGAATCGACTTGACAGCACTAACAACAAATTTTGTGAATGTTTTGTCATAGTTTGTGGTTTTGCTGTTGCATTTTTGTAACAGTATTTTTTGAGGAGAAGCCTTTAAATTTTAACAAGTCCAAGTTATTAATATTTTTTTATGTACAGAACATGGTGTCTTCTCTAAGAAATCTTTGTCTATCTCCATGATTCCAAAACTATATTCCCCAGTGCCCTGGGATGCTCTGAGATATTAATTTTCAACATCTGTTGGACACCACACAAACTAACAGCTCAATGGAGTTAACAGTTACAATATTAGATCTCACTGTATTTCTTTGGTAATACATCTTTGAAGCAAGTACTGCACAAAGATCAGTGTGGAACATCAAACAGGGCAGGGGTTGGTGTTCAGTCGGATTCCCTGAGGAAGAATTTGTACGGTATGCAATAGACACACGTATATCAGTAAATAATTGTAGTTAAGAATGAGAAATATTTTTAAATTTATGTGTATTAATTTTTCAAACAGCTACTCAATTGTTAGAATGTAAAAACTTACTAAGTAGTTTGGACCTAACCTCTTAATAAATTGAACCGTTAGGTATTTGTTTTGGTCGAGGGATCACCATAAAAAGTTACTGAGACACTAAGGGCACCATGAACCGAGAAAGTTTGAGCAACACTGGCCTATACCAAGTTTGCAAAGATATTCTCCGTGTTTCTTGAAACTTCATATAGTTTTAGCTTTCATGTTGAGGCCTTATTAAATTCACTGATTCTAATAGTTTTATACATTCCTTTGGATCTTCTATGTAAACAGTAATATAATCTATAAAGAGATTTATTTCTTCCTTTCAATCTTTTTTTTTTTTTTGGTGAGGAAGGTCAGCCCTGAGCTAACATCTGATGCCAATCCTTTTTTGCTGAGGAAGATTGGCCCTGGGCTAACATCCGTGCCCATATTCCTCTACTTTATATGGGACGCTGGCACAGCATGGCTTGACAAGTGGTGCATTGGTGCGCGCCCGGGATCTGAACCTGTGAACCCTGGGCCGCCGCAGTGGAGCACGCCCACTTAACTGCTATGCCAGTGGGCCGTCCCCTCTTCCTTTCAATCTTTGTGCGTTTTCTTTCTTTTCCTTGCCTTCCTGGCCAAGGCTCTCAGTATACTGTTGAATAGAAGTGGCGAGAGTAGACATCATTGCCGTGTTCCTGATCTTAGGAGAAGGCAGTTAACATTTCATCATTAGGCATGATATTCAGCTGTGGAGTTTTTCATAGATGCCCATTATCAGATGAAGAGGTTCCTTTCTATAACTAGTTTGTTGAGAGTTATTATTCATGCGTGTTGAATTTTGTCAAATTTCTCTATCTATTCACATGATCATAGGGGTTTTCTCCTTTATTCTGTTAATGTGATGAGTAAGATTGATTTATTTTTGAATGTATAACCAACCTTGCATTCCTTGTAGTCATGATGCAAAAATTATCTTTTTAATATATTGCTTGATTTGATTTGATAATTTTTGCATTATGTTCATGAGAGATATTGGTCTTTTCTTATAATGGCTTTGTCATATTTTGGAATCAGTCATACTTGGCCTCAGAATAAGTTTAGAAATGTTCCCACCTCTTTTTCTGAAAGAATGCAAAATTGTTATTTCTTCCTTAAATGTTTGATAGAATTAACCAATGAAGTCTGGGCCAGGAGATGCTTTGTGGGGAGGTTTTTGATACAAATTTAATTTTTTTGTTAGATATCAAAGCTATTCATATTTTCTATGTTATCTTACATTGGTTTTGTTAGTTATGTTTTTTGAGGAATTTTTCCATTTCATGTTGTCAAATCCAGCATAAAGTTGCTCATATTTTTTCATTTATTATCCTTTTATATCCATAGGATCTATAGTCATGATTCCTTTTTCATTCCTTCATATTTGTGGTAATTTGTGTTTTCTCTTTTTTTTCTTGATCAGTCTTGCTAGCTATTTATCAATTTTATTAATCTCTTGAAAGAACCAAATTTTTACTCTGTTAATTTTCTCTATTTTTCTATTTCATTAGTTCTGCTCATATCTTTACTGTTTTCTTCCTTCAACTTAGATTTAATTTGCTGTTCTTCTTCTAGCTTAAGGTGGAAACTTGGGGGTTTGTTGGTTTTAGTAAGGACTTTTTTACTTGACTTTTTTTACTCATACTGTAAAACACTGCTTTGTGGTGGGTGGCAGCTTCTTTTAGCCTTTGCTGGGATACTTCAAGTCTGCCCTGTGCATGCATGATTCAGGGATTATTCAGAGACCTAGGCAGAGTTTATACATAGAATTTGGGGCTCTCCCTTTTAGTCTCTCTCCTTTTTGGGATTTCCCACCTCACTTTCCAGTAGCTTTGGTGGCCCCAAACTCTTGTCTTCTGGTCCTTTAAGCCAAGAAGGCCGAGATTTTCTTTCAGAATTTTGGCTGCCCTGCGTGGCACAGATTGGTGCCCCTCCTCAGGCTGAAGGCCAGTTAAAAAAATAATAAATCACCAGTATCATTCCTTTTTTCAAGTATCGCTTCCCCTCCATAAACTGACTGCTTTTGTTCGTAGTCTAGTGTCTTTAAAACCCAGGTCATTGATTTTAAGATGTTCTTTTTAAATAAAACCTAAAGATATTAATTTCCTTCTAAGCACTATTTTAACTATATCCCACAAATTTTGGTATGTTGTATTCTCATTATCATTCAGTTCAGATCACTTGATATTATCCTACAGGTGACTAAGGCTCTGTTAATTTTTCAGTCTTATTATTATTTTTTTTAACTCTCTGTTCTTTAGATTTAATTTCAGATGATCTTTATTCCTGTTCACTGGCCCTTTCTTCTGCTGTGTTCAGTCTCTGGTTAATGCCATCCAGTGAGTTTTTTATTTCAGATACTATATTTCCAGTTCTAGAATGTCCATTTTTTAAATTTCCATTTATCTGCAAGTATTCCCCCATGTGTTCATGCATTGTGATGATCTTTTTTTTAAGTCTTTGAACATATTTATAACAGCTACTTTAAGGTTCTCTGCTAATTCTAACATGTGGGTCTGTGGGTCATTGTGGGCTCTTTCTGTGGACTATTTTTTCTCTTCACCATGGCTCCCTTCTTTCTAGGATTTGAACCCTCAATCTCCAGCCCCCTTGGCAGCCACACACTCTACCCTCTGACCCCTCAAGCAGATAGACTGTGGTTTTCTCCTTGTGTTCTAGTTACACTGTGCTCTTTGGAGGAGGCAGTGTTGTCAGGGTACAAACTGTACAAATGAAGACCTCACCCAGTTTGGGTCCCTTCTTTCAAAGACTGACTCCCCTTGTGGTCACTCCTCAGGCTTCATATAATTATTTTTTATGTTTTGTTCAGAGTTTATAATTGGTATCTGCAGGAAGGTTGGTCTGTTAGGAGGTACTTGACCATCACTGGAATCTCCTAAAATTTTCATTTTGTTTCATTTTGTTTTTTTCTGAGCCATAGTAAATTGAAAGAAGGTTGAGTTTTACTGAACTTAAGCACATCTGGTATTCAGGTGCATCACCATTTTGTTCACTCTGTCTAGACAGGTCCACTTTATTGAGGATATTTAATACCCTTCTCAAAGGTGATGTGAGCATGACAAAACCTATGGTTTTATTTTTAATTCAAGATATTTAGAATTTTTTATCATGACTATTATAGGTGACCATTTCTCCATATTTTGTATTTTCAGGTCATTAACTTGGACATTTAATGTTTTCTTTAACTCTCTCAATTTAGATGAGTTTGGTGCTTTGGAAAGTGTGAAAGCTGCTAGTGAACTCTATTCTCCTCTATCAGGAGAAGTAACTGAAATTAATGAAGCTCTTGCAGAAAATCCAGGACTTGTCAACAAATCTTGTTATGAAGATGGTAAGTTGTTGCTAGAAATTTATCAAAGGATTATTGCTGCAGTTAACATTTAATTGAGAGTCTACAGCAAGCTTTAGCTGATTATGACGTCATCATTTTGCACTTCTTGGTACTAAACAGAGATGTTCTGCTTTAAAAAAGGAAACACAGGGGCTGGCGCGGTTGTGCACACTCCGCTTTGGCGGCCCGGGGTTCGTGGGTTCGGATCCTGGGTGCGCACCGACACACCTCTTGTCACGCTGTGTCATGCTGTGGCGGCTCCCGTATAAAGTAGAGGAAGATGGGCACAGATGTTAGCTCAGGGCCAGTCTTTCTCCGCAAAAAAGAGGAGGATCGGCATCGAATGTTAGCTCAGGGCTGATCTTCCTGACAAAAATAAAAAATAAAAAAGGAAAACACAGAGTAGCTGAATAATAAAATTATGTTTAAGATCTCTGTTGATAAAAGCATTGCTTTATTTTACAGGGTTCTTAGTATCATAGTTGTGGACTCCTTGTAAACACAGAGTATTTACATCTTCAGACATAAAGCATTCAGTCATATTGTGTGATGAAGGTAGTAATAGAATAACACTTACTGTATTAAGTTTCAGTTGTCTCACATTTTCATCTTAATAACCCAGTGAAGGGGCAGGCCTGGTGGCGCAAGTGGTTAAGTGTGCGTGCTCCCCCGCGGCGGCCTGTGGTTCGCCGGTTTGGATCCCAGGCGCGCACTGACACACTGCTTGTCAGGCCTTGCTGTGGCAGCATCCCATATAAAGTGGAGGAAGATGGGCATGGATGTTGGCCCAGGGCCAGTCTTCCTCAGCAAAAGGAGGAGGATTGGCAGATGTTAGCTCAGGGCCAATCTTCCTCACGCACACACACAAAACATAACCCAGTGAGGTTGGGTACCAGCAATTTTCTCCATCTTCTTGATGAATTTAGGCCCCAAAGGATTATCTGTTAAGGTCACACAGCTAACAAATGACAAAATTAGGATTAGGTTTTAGTTTTCTGTTGCCTATCACCTAGCCCTTCTAACTCTCTACCACTGCTTTTTAATGCCCTTAACTTCAGTAGTTACACTGTTGGTGGTTGGTGTTCCTTTTGTTAGAGAAAGATACCTGGTCTTGTATATTTGGTTCTGTGTGTAAAGTATTCAGTATCACTTATTGATGCTTTTACAGCCTAAGTTCTTAATCCATTATTGTAGAGTCTGTTTATTCTGGCTGTAATCTTTTCAGTTGTGATATGCAAGGATATTAATTTAATTCTTAAGGCTAAAATTTAAAGCTCCTTGAACAAATAATGAGTGATTTATGTAAAGAATACTAGATTAATTTTGAGGAACTCAAAAATTTACATTTTGAATGAATGTGACTTTTTCCTATTTTTTAAAAAGGTAATTGGAATATAAGATACTTTTTTTTGGTTGCAGGTTGGCTGATCAAGATGACACTGAGTAACCCTTCAGAACTAGATGAACTAATGAGTGAAGAAGCATATGAGAAATACATAAAATCTATTGAGGAGTGAAAATGGAACCCCTAAATAAACTAGTATGAAACAAACTTAATCTAGCATAGTTGTCTTAAATTAGTGGTGGACACAAGATTTAAAATAGCAACTTTTAGCAATATCAGTGGCAAAAGAAACTACTTGCAACCATGCTGCTGGAAGAAAATACCTGTTAACTTTTTAATGATTGCAGATAAACACAATATGCATCTGTTTCACACCACCTTATGATTTTTAGGCTAGGATCCAGTTATAATATTCAGAATTCCTGAAATTACCTGTGGTAAAAACTAATTATAGTAATTCAAGGATAACATTGTTATCTTAAGCCTTATATAATATTGTAACTTGCTTACATCCATCTCTGATTTGGATCAAAACACTTAATGATCTTTCCATTGGAAATAACTGGCAATGGAGAAAAGTTTTTGTTGTACAGTGTCAGATGAAGAACAAGACTATCTTAATTTTGCAATATACTGCGTTTGCTGGTGCTATTTTTATACAGCGAAGCAACAGCCTTGCAGGAAAATAAGAAACAGTTTAATAATAAAACATTCAACTTCTTCATTAATCATGTTTTTTGTTTTGCTGTAAATATTTCATTTAGTGACTCTGCTAGTATTTGTGAAGATACTAATTTTAACTTATGGAAAGTAATTTTTTAAAAGGAAATTTAAGCCATACCAATGAACGGTTCCAAGAAAATGTTTCCTTTTAGTCACAAATCTGGTTTAAGCAAAGATCTAATTGCCTGATAGCATAATGGACTGTCATCTTTAATGTAATGAAAAAGTAATACTGACTTTGTTTTTCTATGATGCTAAGTTAGAAGAGAGAAGGAGGAAAAACAAGGAAAGGTGCAAGTTTGATCAGCATAGCACATGCATCCTTAAGAAAGTTAAAACATGTACAGACTTCCACTTAATGGGAACAGAAGTGGACACAGTGAAACTTTATGAGCTCAGACACTGACTTAGTGAATATACTTTGCAGCTTAAGCATATTTAGAGTGCCAAATGGTATTTTTAAGTGGCTAATACAGTATACTTTCTAATTAAGCCAACTGTAGTATGCTGATATTTTGAGTGGGGATGTTAGACATACGTATATAAATATGTGTAAATACATATACACACAGCAAAAACAGACAAGCTCCTCTCTCAATTTTTCCAGTTACTACAGGAAAAGGGAAGTATTCAGACATTACCACCGTTCTGATGGTGAATAAACAGCAAATAAAAGAACCTATTTCTACTTTGGAAATAAAAAGGGATGAGTAATAATTATATAGATTTACTCTTGTTTTGAAGGTACTCTCATATATGACCTTTGATCTTCACAACAATAGCCAGAGCTAGGTAAGACATATGTGTAACTACCACCATTTCATAGATAAGAAAGGTGATGGAAAGGATGAGAGACTGTTCACCAGTGAGGCAGTCATAGTTAGGATTTTCACATTTCCTGATCGACTCTTCGCCAGTTCCTTAGCAAATATTACTATAAAAAATACTAAAATATTTAAATGGGTATCTTGGAGGTGGAGAGGATGAATGTTCTAAAGGTGGGAAGCAGAAATGGCCATTCCAGATGGAAATACATCAGTGATTGTAGTCTGAAAGAGATGGTTAGATTTTTATTCTCCCATCCTTTCCCCAAGACACACACACACTTGCTCTGTTATATCCACTCCATGATTTTTCAAAGAACAGAACATTATGGCAACTTGCTCTTTCACTAGTTAGAATATAGAGTCAGTTCAACCCTCATTTCTATTATGGTGCTGCCAAAAATAATAGGCATTGAATGGCCCTCCAAAAGGACTAAATCAACAGAGAATTTAATTTCTCAGACCTCATATTCCTTTTGAATGGTTTTGGTCTTAACGGAGCAGCTTAATAAAGGTTTTGAATGATACTTTCTAATAATTAAAACTCAAGAAATGCAACAGGTTACCGTGGAAGTGTTAAAAAATTTTTTTTATATCACCTCCCAGGTAGCTTAAAGAAGTTGACTGTATTAATAAAGAAACCACTAGGGGGCTCTGCATAGGCATGCTAGTATGAAAATGAGGCTGATATTTCTTTAATTTTATTTATTTATTTATTTTTCCCCCCAAAGCCCCAGTAGATAGTTGTGTGTCATAGCTGCACATCCTTCTAGTTGCTGTACATGGGACACGGCCTCAGCATGGCTGGAGAAGCGGTGCGTTGGTGCACGCCCGGGATCCGAACCCCGGCCGCCAGCAGCGGAGCGCGCGCACTTAACTGCTAAGCCACGGGGCCGGCCCCAAGGCTGATATTTCAAAGCAACTCTCAGCAACAGAATTTCAGAATTTTTCTAAATTTCTGCACTTTTTCTGGGGCTACTGAAATGTCAGAGTACCACCCACCTTTAGTTTAAAAAATTATGCTAACTAGGCCTACCCTCATTACTGCTCAACAGTCACTATTATTTCAGACCTAATCACACATCTGCCTTCCTCAGAGAGGACCCTCACTTTACATGGAGATTAAATTCTTTTTCCTTCCCTGCAACATGGCTTTACTACTGACCACCTCCCTGCATCAGTCTTTTTGTTTTTTCCTTTCAAATTAGACTTTACTTTTTAGAGCAGAGCAGATTTAGGTTCAAAATTGAGCAAAAAGTAGTTTCTTCCTGCCCCCATCTTTCTGTTTTTGAAACATTCCTTTGCCAACCCTGAGACCTTATTCTAGTAGAGCTCCTGATATCTTGATTCAGTCTCTATATTGGCTTTTATAAACATGAGTAACCAAACACACCTGTCCCTTAACATTTCTGCTCAGTCATGCTGTCAGGCTTTTACCTGCTAAACTTCAACAGTATTAGTAGCCCATTTAAAGTGGGTAAGCAGGCACGATTAGCGTGAAGGAATGTTAGCAGATCTTCCAACTTCCACATGTACTTATGAGAATGTGCTTTGAGTCAAGAAGTTTAATAGTCATTTAGTAAATCTTAGTTAAGACTTTTGGTATACTTCCCACAAACTGAGAAAAGTAGCTTTAATAACTGGGTAACAAATCCTTCTGCTAGTTAGGTGGTTTCAAATTTTCTGTTTTCAACTGAACTGAAGGAGGACCTAACCAAAACTGTCAGTTGACAGATAATTAAAAAATGTTTTGTTGATTACTATATGATTTCTGGTGTGGAAAGGAATTAAAAGAAAAAGTTGAGTCACTGCTATAACAAAACCCCTTTTATGTGCATCTTCATATGAACAAGGTCTCTCAGCTTACATCTGTGGAAAAAAACTGGAATAAAACGGGCTGAATCTGTCTCATGCTAGCAATATGTAATATTTATCCATAGATACATGAATTGGGAGAGGGGAGGAACAGCCCCGTCCATTTCTTTCTATACACTTCCAGTAACAGTCTTTTGTTTAATATTTATCAACATGTGGAATATTCCTGTTTTCTGCCAACTGAGTAAGAATAAAGGTAATTCTGAATCTGGAAAAAAAATTGAACTGTTTTAGCCTTATGGTCTTATGGAAAATTTTTAGATTTCATTTGCAAATTACATTTTTTGTTGCAAATTATATTTTTTGTTGCAGAAAAATAGACTGCAAAAGTCTTTGACCATATATATATGTTAGAACAAAATTCTGTGGAGGAAATAGAATAAAAATACAATTATGAATTTAAGGAGAAAAAGCAAAAGAAAAATTTCTATTAATTTATTCATGTATTTTTAAATAGATGATGGGTATCAAATTGCAATTAAATTTAGATTTCTTTCAATACTTTTAAAAGAGTGATGAATATATTTAAAATGCCAACATTTATGATACTCTGGATGTTACATCCTTTGCTACTAAAATTTATGATTAAAATTTTAACAAAAAATGTGCGATGAGGTATGCAATTTTGTACAATTCTTTTAGAAGTATGCAGGCATACCATTACTGTCAGGCTGTGAAATACAAAGGATCCAAATATGTGTTATTTTAGGTAATAACAATACCTTAAAAAGTAGTTATGTTCTAGAAAAGTACCTTGTTCTAACATGTTAGCATAGTGTAATATATACATCACATAAAATAGTCTTTCCATAGACTTTACAGGCTTTCTAATTAATACTGTATGTGTAAAAGAGTTAAATACACAGCTATCTTTACAAATGTCTTTTAATCACAGTGGTATAAAGGACTTATATTCTAATACTTTTCTACAGCAGAAATATTCACATTTTTAAAACCAGAAAGCAAAGGGTTTTGGAATCATACCTGAGTTGGGTCCAGGCTCTAGCACTCAATGCCTGACTTGGGGCATAGGTTCCCACCCCTGGCTCCAAAGTACCAGCACCAAAGGTGGGAGGGGCAGGGGTGCCCTTCAGTGTCTTCTAGGAGCTCCTCAGTTGATTTAAGGACACGGAGCTACTTTTCTTCATCTGTATAAAAGATGGCAATGCCCACTTCACAGGGTTGTTCTGCTACACGACAGAGTTCAGCGCATGCTAGTTGGTACTGCCAAGTGGATTCAAACTAGTACTGCCCAGACACGTGAGCAGGTGCCGAAAGGTACAAGACAATAGATTCCTCTATGGAGTTTTTGGCTTGCATCACCTTAGCACAGTCGTTCTCATGGGGAAGGGGCGACTTGCGGGACAGATGGCAAAGTTGGAGACATTTTTGGTTGTCTGGCAGCTTGCGGGTGGAGGTCAGGGACGCTGCTAACCATCCTACCATCCTACCACGCGCAGGACTACCCCGCCCAGAACCATCGGCGCAATGGCAACACGGCCGAGGGTGACAGGTCCTGGGTCTCTGAGGGGAAGCCGGTCCCAGGGGTCTCGCTTTCTAATTCCACAAGCCGGCGGGGAGCCATCTTCTCCGTCTACTTCCCTGACCGGCGCTTCAGGCTACATACTGCCCCTCGCAACGCGACCCAGGTCCTCTCAGCGGCCGGCGGCCTGCTCCCCCGCCGGCCGAAGGTGCGGGCAGCCCACAGCCTGCCGGGAGCACGCGCCCGCCGCCGGCCGTCAGCGTCGCCTCCCGCCCTCAGCTTTGTTGCGCGAGGTGGGCCCTACGTCACTTCCGCTGCGCAACCCCGCGGGCCCGCTCCAGCCCCGCCCCCAGCGCATCCGTAACCCGGGGCAACTGTCGCCCTCGATCGCTGGAGGGGACTAAGTTGTCCCGGGGCCTTCCACCCTGCTGGCCCCACAAGAGGGTGCGAGCGGCCGCGGCCGCTTCCCCGCCTCCGGGGCAAGGCCCCAGACCAGTACCCGGGCGGCAGAGCCAGAAGCCCTGCCAGTTCGAAAGGAAGCTGCCCTCTGGGGCGGGGAGGCCAAAGGAGGAGGTAGTGCCAGCCCGGGCTGGAATAAGACTGGGCGGGACCTGGGGAGGAGCGGCGCGGAATGGGTGGGGCAGTGGGCGGAGCCTGGCGAGGGAGGAGCCAACGGAGGAAGGGGACGACGTTTGGCTGGCGGGGGATAGCTATGGAAGGAAGGGAAGGCGTCTCTTGTGGCGCGGTAGGAACTGCTGGAGGAAGGGGAGGAGCTAGATGAGGAAGAAAGAGGGATCGTGGGAGAAGGGGCGGAGCCTGTGGGAAGGGGAGGGGCCATTAGAGGAAAGGGAGGAGCCAGGTGTGAAGTGCCTGGGCTTTAGGAGCCACAGGTGGAGTGTGTTTGATGACTTGTGCTTTTGTGTAGAGTGTAAGGTGTGTAAGAGCTGGGATGACGGGCGTTGCTTTATCATTTAATTCCTAGTGCTAGGCATCTTAGAGGCACTTAGTGAGTGAATGAATGCGAGTGGAAAAAGCGGAAGAGCTGGGGATTGGGATTGGAGTAGAAATGGTCTGATCCGGAGGGGTGGTTGTAGAAACTGGCTCCTAGGAATCATTCTATGAATATTCAAAGCCTCTGTGTTCTTTGGGTATTAATAAGCATAAGGCACCGATAGTTAACATGGGAAGATAAGATTTATATTCTTGAATGTGTGAACAAATTGTGCAAGTTCAGTGCTGCAGATGCTTAACTTTGCGATAAATTTCGACTCCCTGAGAGCTGTCTGTGTTCCAAAACTGTAAATTAGATTGGAATCCCAATGTAATTTTCCCTTAGAACTATGTTACCAGTGATCAGCATGCCCAGGCCAATCTTCAAGACCTATTTAACCAGTTCATATGCGTGAAGCTTAGCTCTGTATTAAGAAACTTAATTTCCACCATAGCTAATAGTGTTTCTGTTCATTGATTTCTTCATTCGACACATGTTGATAAGGATCCACAGACACATCCATTCAGAATTCTGAGTGAGGCTGCGAAAAACCCATCTTTCCCTGGCTGAAATTCTGACATAGATTCAAGATTCCTTTAAACCTGAAACATCTAGGAAGATGGGGGTAGGTGTAGGGGCATGGTGTAGAGCCAGGGACGGGGTAAGGAGTTTTGAGGGATTACAACCTGCTTTTGACTTAAACACTTTGTTTTTCACCTCTCCTGTTGCATCAACATTACCCCACCATTACTTGATTAGGAATGTGCCAACCAGGTGTAGGAATCTACAGTAAGGCATTTGTACTCTGACTGTATAGACAGGCAACAGCAAATATGTGGCACATATACTACCACTGTTCCTTCTTTATTCTGTGGCAGACATCATTAATCAATCACCTATTGTAGAGGAGGGCTGGCCCGGGGCGGGGCATAGCGGTTAAGTGCGAGCACTCTGCTTCCACAGCCCGGGGTTCACAGGTTCGGATCCTGGGCGCGCACCGACACACTGCTTGTCAAGCCATGCTGTGGCGGCGTCCCATATAAAGTAGAGGAAGATGGGCATGGATGTTAGCCCAGGGCCAGTCTTCCTCAGCAAAAAGAGGAGGATTGGCATTGGATGTTAGCTCAGGGCTGGTCCTCCTCACAAAAAAAAAAAAAAAAAAGAAGACAGGAATTATTAACAGTTCATGTGAAAAAAATCTACAAGTTGTAGTTGACATCAAGCTCAGTGTTAATCAAGATTGGGATATAGCTTTTAAAAAAAAATAGCAATCTTTGTTGAATTAATAGGGGTAGATTTCAGACCAAAGGGAGTCAGATTTCAAAATAGACACTTCTAGCCAGACCACATTTGAAGTATTGCTCTCATTTCCAGGTACTACGTTTTAAAGACGTTGACAAGCAACTGTGCATTCTCAAGATGAGGGAATTTGAGATTCTTATCTGAAGAAATTATAGCTGTCTTCAGATATTTTCAGGATTATCATATGTTGCATTGGGGAGGAACACCAGGAACTGAGGAGCAAAATGTGCAGACTTGCAGATGTCTTGATTTGAGAACATTCTAATCTTTAAAGCTGCCACTGGAATGAAAAAAGTAGTTTGTGAAGTAATTAGCTCTCAGTTATTAAAAGTACTTAAGCAGCAGTATTTAAGCTGAATTATTATTATATTAGATTTCTGTTGCTGCTGTGTTCTTTGTTTAGGATCTCACAAGGCTGAAATCAAGGTGTCAGCCAGGCTGGACTCTTGCCTGGAGGGTTGGGGAGGAATCTTCTTCCAAGATCCTTCAGATTGTTGGCTGGATTCAGTTTCCTGCTGTTATAGAACTGAGGTCCCCATTTAATTCCTGACTGTCAGCCAGAGGCTGCTCGCAGCCTCTAAATGCTACCCCATTCCTTGACACATGACCTTCTCCTTCTTCAAAGCCAGTAACTTGCCTCAAATTCCTCTCATGCTTTGAATCAGCTTCTGCTGCTGCTAGCCAGAGAGAACTCTCTGCTTTGAAAGGGCTCATGGATTAGATTAGGCCCACCCAGATAATCCAAAATAATCTCCCTATCTTCAAGTCAACTGACTAGTACCATAATTACATCTGTAAAGTCCCTTTTGCCATGTAATGTAACATTCAGGGACGTTGTATCTCATCGTAGTCATAGTCGCAGGGATTAGGGTGGGAAATCTTGTGGAGATAGGATTTGTAGAATTCAGTTTACCACATTATCTTTCAGGAATATTGTAGAAGAGCTATTGCAACAGGTATTTTTTTTACCCATTTTCTCTCCATAAACGTAAACTTATACGCTATTAATTCCACCTCTAATTAGAGTTTTATCTTTGAATGATTCAGGCATACTCTTGCTCTTCCAAAGACATGGAGCTTGTCCTCATGATACTTTCAATCTTTTCATCTTTTACTCTGATTTTAATATTTAAAGTAACATTAATCTTTTACTCTGATTTTAGGATACATACCAACCTGGCTTTGCACAGTAGGATACCTATAGACGTCTGTTCCTTTCTGTAGTGCTAAAATACTTTATTTTTAATATTTTCCCACAGCAAAACTACAAATTTATTTTTCTTCCTTACCTGAAGCTAGTTTTCTTTTGCTAGCATCGTGTTGCTTCATATACAATCGCTATAATTTAGAGGACTAAATAGCTCTCTAGTCTCTTTAATATGTAACTCTTCATCCAGTTATTTAAAAAATTATGTTATAGCTAGTTTCTTCTTTTGCTTCAGGTGTAATGGTAAATGAATCAGCTCTAGAGTCAGAAAGATCTGGCCTTGTAATCTCAACTCTGACACTAGCAATCTCAGTGATGATGTTCATCAGGACAGGACAGGCTCTGCTGCAGTAACACCACATACTAAAATCTCAATGATTTAACTCATTAGGTATTTTATCGTTAGTGCACAGCCTGATTCGTGCTGTGACTCAGGATCCAGGCTTCCTCCATTTTGTGATCCTACCAACTCAACATGTGACTTCCAAAGTCATAGTGGGAGGAGAAGAGAGAACTGGAGGGGCACGTGACCTCCTAACTGCCTCATTCAAGGAGTGATACTCCTCACTTCCACGCGTTCTGCTGGCTAGACTAGTCACAAGGCCCTAACCCAACTGCGAGGGAGGCTGCAATGTAGGGAAGGACAGTGGCTTTTGGGGAGCACTAGCTTTCTCTCTCACAGTGATGTTGAGAAATTTCCTAACCTTCCTGCATATGTCTCCTCACTTATAAAATGGTACTAATACTCAGTAGATATGAGTTATTCTCTTTCAGAGGATCAGTTTAGGTACCAGTTATACATATATATTGACTTTTATTTTCCCAGCATTTATATCTGAATTGAAACCAGTGTTTCTTGTATGTCATCTTTGTCTTAGAGATGTTCATTTCCAATATAATGACCTCCATTCCCCTCCAGCTATTATATTTTCTTCCAACCTTGATCACAGACAGTTGGTGACTCTTATTGATTTATATAAACCTGCCACGTTTGACTGAGCCATTTTGAGCTGCCCCTTCCCACCTGGAGCAAAGCTTTCACATTCTGAATAAACAATGATCTCTAATAAGGAGGAGTAATGACAGGGACCAGGTATGGATGTCCCTTTCTCCCTTCTCAGAGGGGCTAGACGGAGTCTCACAAGGCCAGAACAAATATAACCCACCCTACAGGTGCTTTCTAACTGCATTGGATTCCCAGGAACAAGTATTTCCACACAATATAGTGAGGAAAAGCATGCATGGACTTTGGAGTCAGAAAAACATGGTGTGGTTTCAAAACATGTCTACAAATTCTTTGATTCTTCTCCCATGGAGAAGTGGAGTGTGCATCTCCTCGTCTTGAGTGTGGCTGACCTTAGTGGCTGATAAACCAACTGAGACCAGCAAAATTGAAACCATGTGACTTATAAGGCTAGGTCGTAAAAGGCAATTTAGGTGGTTTTAATATGGTTCTAACATGATAATGATATCAGGCTCTTGATAAGTGTTAGTTGTCCTTCCTTTCCTCAAGCTTATCTTTTTTCGACTTAGTTTCCTCAGAAATGAGACTGAACTCTGAGATGCTGTGGTAGAATTGCCCAGCATTTGTGAATGCACTTGCTGCATTTTGGTAATATATACCGTATTATGAGTACCCTCCTTGAAGTAGAACAGAAAACTCATGGCCCCTGTACTACCTTGTAGCAAGGATTCTGGCATGTGACCTAGGTTCCACCAATTAGACGTACCCTCCCAATACATGTGTTGAGAAGTGAATAACAGGAAGGAGCGGTCGTTTGCAATGGAGTGAAAGAAAATTCTGTGCTGATGGTGGCAGAGGCATTTGATGCTTTCGGGCTGGGGTGGCGGAGCGTTGGAATCCAGTCCCAAGTGTCATATTTCTGAAAGCTGAGTCAATTACATGTTTAGAACAAGTAGTATGGGTTGGGCATTGTTCCTGACTTTGTAGCTTCAAAGTCTGCCTTTCTGACCCATTCCTCCTGTGAAAATTCTGTAGGCTACCTAATACAGTCATGTGCCACATAAAGACATGTCCATCAATGATGGGCCACATATATGACAGTGGTCCCA